TCCCACTTTAGCACAATCAAATATACTTCAGTATATCTTTAGTTGCACTTCAGCACTACTTCCACACAATTAAAGTGCATGAAGTACAAAATTAGTTGTTCCAATTTAGCAGACTTTAAGTATACCAGTTTAGTATACTAAACGTACAATTGCCTGGTATTTTTATTAAGTACATAAATATGTAAATGTATTTGTAGTATACTTAGCATTAAATAAATGTATTTCAAATACATTTCAGTATATTTATTTTTTGTTAGGGATGTCAAAAGGTTTTCACATTGCATTTGGATTCAAGCATTACAAATATTTTTTTGTCTTTTTTCTTTTAGTCTGTCTGTCTTCTTTCCTGCTTGCTTTATTTCTTGTATAAAGGACACATGAATAAAGGGAAAAAAAGTCATGACACTACCCTTTACACACAAAGACACAGACAATGGACCGTAATGATTTGGTAACTTATTGTCAGATGGCAGCCACAATTACTCATCATAAAAGCCATTCAGGTGAGTCAGTGTGTGTTGATTTTTTATTTTTTTTATTTTTTTACATTTTAGGAAGTTTTATACGGTGGCCGAGAGAGCTCAACGAGCTGCAACTTAAGAAAACACATGCAAATTGAAAAAACACCAGCAAATTAAGAAAACATCTTCATCGGTTTGACAACACGCGCTGCAAATCCTCACAACACATGCAAATGAAGAAACGCGCTGCAAATCCTCACGTTGTGAGGATTTGCAGCGCGTTTCTTCATTTGCATGTGTTGTGAGGATTTGCAGCGCGTTTCTTCATTTGCATGTGTTGTGAGGATTTGCAGCGCGTTTCTTCATTTGCATGTGTTGTGAGGATTTGCAGCGCATGTGTTGTCAAATTGATGAAGATGTTTTCTTAATTTGCTGGTGTTTTTTCAATTTGCATGTGTTTTCTTAAGTTGCAGCACGTTGAGCTCTCTCGGCCACCGTAGGGTTTTACCTGGAGAAGAGATGCAGAAAAATGAAAGACCAAACAACAGTTGGCTTCTATACTGCGGACCTTATTTATAATAATAAGATAATTGACGTAAGCCAAAGATGAAAATTAAGCTGTAAAATTTGCAATGTTTCTTTAGCATAGGGACACCAATTGTGTGCTTAAGAATATTTGTTAGATTTATATTTTTCTTATGTTTGACCTTTACAATGTCTAGGATCTCTTTGAGGTTTTTTTGTGATTGTTTAATGGCTGTGTAGACGTGATCAGTCTGGCTCTCAGGTTCCGCTCCACTTCTCTCACCTCTAACAAATAACAAATTATGACGTTGCAACATCACAGATCTCAAGATCCGGCAGAATAAAGAATACAGAATCCTGAAAGCTGGTCTTAAAATACGCCTTTTGTCAGCCTAACATCCAGTTGTCTTTACATTTGCTCATTAAAGGTGGGGTAAGCGATTTCTGGTAGCCAATGTTGACATTTGAAATCACCAAAACAAACACGCCCCTACCCCA